CTCCCTCCTCACCCTCCTCACCCCCCCGTTACCCCCTCTGCACCCCCCCAGCCTGCACTCAGATACCCCGGCTTCACCTACAGAGGATGGTCCTTATGTGTTGATATGCATGACAGTCTGTGATACAGAGCTACGTCGACTACAGTCACTGGCCAGAAACTGTCACACTACTCTCACAACTGTCAAGTTACTCAGACCACCAGGGGGAGGCTTCCGGTTATCACTTTCAGTATAAAAGTCTTTTTGAAGCTTACATTTAAAGAAACAGGTGTCACATTTTAAAAACTTGTCACAAATAAATTAACCATATTATTAAGTAATACAATACAACTTTTGTCTTATGTTTGTTTTGTGTTTAATTAATTATTTTTTTGTATTTTTGCTGTATTAAATTGAAAACTTGGACTTTAAAATTATTTGTATTGTCCGAAAAATGTTTTTTTTAATAAAAGTTTTAAAAGTCCCCACGGCAAAGTAAAGTAAAGCATTTTTTTAAAGATATAAATACATTATCTCTTTCTTTTCTATTCCACTATCGATTTTTACTTAAGTGCTCTATAGTCCATAGTGGAAAACAGGTATTTTAATATAAAGTATACACATTTTCTTGCATCTACTTTTCCCCAAGATTGATTAGATAACATAAGATGTTCCTTTACTAATCTCCCGTAGAGGAAATTCAAACTGGCAAAGCAGTACAAGAAAGAACAAGAATAAAAGATAATTAAAATAAAATAAAATAAAATAAAATATATACCATAAAGTGGAATATGGTAAGTTTGTGTATGATTTACTGCATTTAACCATTGCTTAATTAATTGTGTATTAGGCTATCAGATGTAAATGTACACTTCTACACTGTAAATTGTTCAAATGATGTAAATAAGCTCACTGTACTGTCTGCAGTAAAGTTCTCTAACTGATCCACGTGATTGCAGTCATCCTCTAAAACATTTGCATGCTTTTATTTTTAAGGCCAACTTGCAGGACTTCCTGTATCCTCTCGGCTAACCTCGTCCAGCTCGACGCATCTCTTTTTACTCTCAGCCCCGACAAAACATAAGTCTCTCGGTTTTGGCTGGCAGGCTACGGAAGACAACTGAACACCGCCAGTACGGAGAGATTATATTTACCTCCAACTGTACCAACCCGAGCAGTCTCTCTCTTCCCCGGCGTCCAGCTGTCCGTCGGTGCCTGCCACTGTTGTTCTCCCCAAGGTTTTAGAAAGACTTTAAGTCGCGGTGCTCAGATTGTCGACAGAATAATAATAATAAAACAACAACAAGAACATAAAAAAAAAGCCGAAATAGCGGACACGGTTTGGGGGTAAATGCATGGTAATATGAATGCTGTCTTTTGAAAGAAGGGGGGAGGGGGGTCAACAACAGAGTGTAGTTTCTCCCTTCAAGCAAGGCCGAGCGAATGCAATCTGAGCCATCAATGGTTCTCAGCTGGGGGCAAGTGGAAGAAGAGGATGGAAGCCAATAGTTCTTCAAGAGACCAGTTTTCGATTGAGAAGGAAGAATGTAAGCTGATGGGAAAAGTGAGGGGCCGCGATGTTTCTCTACATAACCCTATCACAGCTGGGTGGAATTCACGCTGTGTGTTTTCTGTAAAGCCGGGGATGTTGGATGGATTGAGCTGGGAAGTTGAGGAAGTTTCTGCCCAGATAGGATTGAAATGTTGAACCACTGTTGCTGTTCAGGCTGTTTGGGGGTGGCTGGCTGGTGGTAGTGGTTGGGGTGCGGCCGGGCGTCCTCCCTGAAAGCATGTTTTCTCAGTCGTCGCTTCAACACAACGGCTCGCTTTTTTGTGAATCCTCCCTCGCTATGCTGGCTTTGTGTTTCACTCACAGGGGCGATTCTACATTTGCTCAAATCGCACGCCCATCACCACCAGATACAGCCGCATCAATCACAACGGAGAGCCAAGAAACTCAGTAGCGGCCGCGCTCACTACCTCCACACTTGCAAGTACATGCGATTCATCCGCACTCGCACAGCAAGCACCACAGTATTACTCGTTTGCTAACACGCGCTCCACCCACACCCTACCACAGCTCTCGCATCACCGCCCGCGGGCCCACCCCGCAAGCGACCTGCGACGTTCTCGGCACACCCCCGCAGCATTCCCTTCCCACCCCCGAGTCACGCGGGCCGGCCGCCACCCCCTCACCGCCACACCTCTCTCCCGCCCGCCGCCCCTTCACACGGACAAGCACTCGCCCCCGCGCCTTCGATCACACGACCACCCCAACAGATCTTCACAACTGCATGCATCACCTTCTCTCAAAATTACATCTTGTGATGCTCATACGCTATACCAAATTGCCGCCCGTCAAAAGAAATAATCACACGTATCGATGTGTTTCACACAGTCGTCGGCGAGGCCTAAGTAAGAGACAACAGTAACCATGTGTCGGCACCAGTGAAAGCTACAGTGGCAAGGAAGCTGAACATAAATACTTTCTGTCGCACGACAGTATCGACGTACTAGTGGCTTCCCAACCTGTACCCCAGGACCCACTCGCGGACCGCTAAAAGCTCAATGGGTCTGTGTGATTGTTAAATTGTAACAAGGTACATAATAACAGGCAGAATAAATGCTGTGTAAAACGCGTCGCCCTACCCCAACAGGCGAAATACATCGGCTCCAGATCCATCTAAATGTCCTCCTTTTAGCACAAACGTCTTTGCAGCTTCATTGCGCTTTGGGTCCAACTGTACCACGTTCTGAATACTAAGTATGAAATATACGCATAAAATCAAGTCAGCCTAAATTATAGAAAACTCTCGGCAACACAGGCTGTGAACGCAGCTGGTATAGTACATATGCACAGACAAGCCATAGATGTGTTTTTAGTGACTGCGATCATTTATGGTTACCAGACAGTGTCGTAGAGGCTCTGTGGCGCGCTAGCGCCCGGCACGGGGGCAGGAGGTTGGAGGAGGTCGCTGTCTTCCGTGTGTTGCACTGATGTTTCCCTGCCCCTTCCTAAGATAAAGTCCTGAACGGAGGCCAGTGATCCTTCTGCGAAGTCCCCGGTCCTGTGCTGAAAATGAGGGACACGGGGCGTCGGGTAACTGCTCTGCTCCGAA